TCTACTTTTTGAATGTAATTGTTCATAATTGGACCTTGTACAGTCCAGAGGGTTGTTTCTGCTGCTTTTCCATGCGGAATAAGGTTATGGAATGTTAGTTTTAGTGTGTGTAATTATTCAAAGCCTTATTTAAATTCTATTAAAGAACATACCATTATAAATGTTAATTGCACTAATGAAATCTCTGCCATTACCTCAGTCCCACTGTTTGTGTTTCTTTCATGAGTTAGCATCTGTTATTGGGTCTCAGTATTGCAGATTGCTTGAGGCCCCTCGGGTCTCATGGTTTCAGGTGATTTCTTGATTGTCTTTTGTAAAAGGCTCTTCCTTGTTAGCCTTGCTATGTGTGAGAAGTCAGATTTTTGCATTGGCATATTTCTTTGGATGCGTATTGTGTGTTGCAGTGCATATTGCATTAATATGTATTGCATGTTGTTGAAACAGGTTTACCATTAGATAAGGATGTGATGCTAAAGCAGTGGTATGTGCAAAGTGAATCAGCCAGACCTCGAGCAAAGGAGCTACCTTGCTTCTGTAATGCATGTATTAGGCCTGATCCTTTACGGCAGTTACCATTCCCTTGACTCCTGTGGACTTTCTGACTTACCCTGGGACATATGAGATCTTACTTCGGTCTCATGTTTGCAGAAGTTGTGTTTGTATGTAAACTTGTGGTGCAACAGTAGCCTTGAAAAACACATACGCTTTCCTTTTGTGTGTAGGGTAAGATGTATGGTAACTGAGCCAAAAATAATTCCAAGAGTTCAAGGATAGAGTGACTTTCTGTGGCTGGCTGGCCAGTGACTGATATTTAGGCCTTAAATCAGCAATTTGGGCTTACTGATTATCCCAGAGAAGCTGTTCTGATCCAAACTTGATGCATGTTTTAAAATGTGGTTATTAGAGCAGGTTGAAGTATTTTTTAAATATTTGACAGACAAATGAGGTGCATATCTAGTAAATTCTAACAGATAAAAATTGTGTATGAAAAATGTGTCACTTTTTTAGCCCAGCCTTTCTGGTAACGAAACCAGGCTGGTGGAGCAACACACCAGCAGCTTTGGAAACTGCTTTATTAGATGGCAGGGAGGTTTCGATACCTGATCTAGTGCCCAAGTCATGTCTTAAAATGAAACTTTGGCTCCTCCATCTCTTGGGCATATTTGAAAGCTTCACCCCATTGCTGTAGCCAAGATGTTCACATTTACCTGAATTTACAGGTACACACTTACATGAGCCTGAAGAAGCTCTCGGAAGTTGCTGGCTAGATGGAGTGGATGAGGATTTAACTTTAAAGCACAATTGGCTAGTGATCGTGAGCCCCGATGCAGCTGCGGTTATGGGCCGGGGAAGGACATGTATTGACTTCAGCAGAAGCAGAACTGGCTCCTACCAGTGTGGCTATTGCCAAAGATGAGTCTCCATTTAAACCTGTGTAACCTGCTGGGGGAGGCAGGAGAACCGACTGGCAATCCTCTCCAGAAGTGCTTGGAAAATGCAGATTCGTTGAAAGGGTCTTTTCCCCAGTCTCCGGGACTTCTGTCTGTCTGTTGGAAAAAGAGCCTGGGCTCCAGGATGAAGTTTCCCATCACCACATGAGAGGGATCTGCTCAGCACAAAGCAGCAGTAGCCTGGCAGGCAGAGTACTTTCCTGGGAGTCCCGGCGCCCGTGCTGGTGCTCCTGAGTTATGTAGAAACACAGCCTTCCTCATGCCAGTTCAACATCCCGATGACCAGCAGTTTCGCTAGCCCATGTCAAGCTCTGGTGTGTGCTCCTTTTTTTGGTTTTAATTAAAAAACATTTTGAAAAGTATCCATCTTGTTCTTCCTGCATTATGAGGAAAATGTGTGTGCGTTGGGGTTTTTTGTGGGGGAGAGGAGGCTTGGCTTTTTACTGGACTGGGAAGCAATTTCCCAGGTAGGTGTGAGAGAATGTTATATCCTCTGCCTGGACCATCTGTCTTCCGGGGAGGCAGAATCCTAACCTCCAGTAGGTTTTGAATCTCAGTCTAGCATTTGCTCCTTTCCACATACTATAGCTCAACTTAATGAAGCAGGTTGCCAGTCCAGAGAAGTGAGAATATATCAGAGAACATCAAAGGCTCTATTTTCTCCCTCTCCTACTGTCCCCTCTTGCCTTTGAGTATATGCTGGGATGGATTTGCAAAATGCATAGTTCTCTATGTGGGATTTCAAAGCAGTGAGTGGGTTTAGATACCAGTGACCTATTATTCTTCACTACCTCCTGCAAGTTTCAAGAGGACTGCAGTGCTTTTCCTATCGGGGAGCTCTTGAGAGTCCTTCACACAAGCATCTTAGAGCACCCAACCCCATGGGGTTCAAGACTTGGCCAATCTGACAAACACTGGAGTAAGAGGGGATTTGCTTTAAACTAGCAATGTAGTCATCTTCCCTAGTGATGTCAAGAGGGGACAAGTCGGTGCTGTGAGCCCGTGTCTCAATGGGAGATTCAGTTCTGCACCCACTGCTGTGGGGGATAAGAAAGATTTATTTACCTTTTGCCCATTGGCTACCTTCCTGCTGGCTTCTCCCTCTTGGCAGGTGATGTTGCAAAAGGACTGGGACAATTAGTGGGGGGCTGGCTGCATGTGTAAGAATGTAGGAGGTCTCGTTTATGTGTCTGCATATTACTGCCTCCTGCACTGCTAAAAGGGAGTAGAGTCCCAGCCAAGAGGGTCTGGCCTTGGGGCATGAGAAAGGTGGGGAGGAAGAAAAAGTGCCCTTCAGAGGCTCCACTTCCATTTCTCAGTGTGGGCCTTCCTTAGGCGTCCTGGCTGTGGTCCTACTATTGGGACAAGCTTTTGCCTTTGCTCTCTCCATAGGGCTTGTGGCCAGTAGCACAATGGGAGGAGCAGCTAACTTGACCGGTTCCAGTTGTCACTTCTGGGAGACCCTGAAGGACCTGTCACTTCTTCAGGGGGACACCTGAGCTGCTGCAGAACTGACAGAAACACCAGCCAGTGGGGGGCTCCCCTCTGTGCTACACTGGGGAGAGTACTCAAATTAGAGCAGAAGGGAACAACAAATAACCCAAGAGCTTTAACCCAAGCCTGCAGTCTCTGCTCCTTCAAGCGTATTATGTGAAGCCTCGGTCACTTCTGGCTGGCTGTGATAAATCAGGTTATCCATGTTTTCCAATAGTCCAGCCTGGAGAAATGTTGGTGCTGTAACCAGAAAACTACAACTGAGCATCAGAGTCATTCTTTGCAGGAGATTCAGCAAACTACTGGCAGGAATTTAACCATCCACTGCCCAGAATAGAAGCCAGTCCCCAAAAGCCATTGAAAGAGCTGTTTCTTGATCTGTCTTTTCTGTTGTCCTTCTGTCACTGTGAGAAACAGCTCTAATTTTGATCGAAATTCTTGAACTTTCCCTGATTGCCTTGTTCCAGTGGAGAGCAACCTTGCTTTGGCAGCTATTCAAAGCCTGGCAGTTCTGGGCTCGACAGGGACATCCAAGCTCTGGGCCCTTCCACTTCTTGGCCTCCTTATGGAGGGTGATAGTACACTGTGAGACAGGCTTGTGTCCGCTACAAATTGACAGGTCAGTGACTGAAACAGGCACTGAATGACAGCAGTCACTCTTGACTTGAAATGTGCCCTCAGCTCCACTTCTGTTGGCCAGTGTTGTGGGCCATATGAAATGATCTCCAAACTCTCTCTGTGGGCGCTGAGCTCTAAACCAAGTATAGGGTGGCTGGCTTCATGCAAGATGCAGTCCTGGTGTCAAGCATCCACCAGTAGCTAGCAGTCTCTGATCAGTTGGTTAAATTTTCTGGTAAATCTGGGGAAAAATGACTACTTAAAAGCCTCAGAAGGCCAGAGATTACTGAAGGTTGCGTTCCTCTGCTCTCCGGAGGCTGTGGCTGGTGCTTAGACCCGGCTCCACTCAGCTGCAGCCCCTGAAAACATTTCTGTAAAGAAGGTTTATTTAAGTGTCCGCCAATCTGCTTGCTGTGCGAATGCAGGTGGCAGCTGGGTAATCGGACCAAAAGTGTCCAGGAGGCGGTGGCTGGGGCCGGAGGGTCACAGGACAGGGCCCAAATCCCATTAAAGTCCCTTGGGACTTGAAAATGTGCTTGAAACTAAGTGTGTGCACTTTGCTGGATCAAGCTGATTGTGATCAGACCAAAAGTAAGCAGACGTCTGTCATATTTTATTAACCCATACATAATGCAAGCAACCACGCATAACGCAAGTGAATGTGGCAGAGGGAAAAGGGAAGATGGACTTTGCTAATGATTATTTCCCAAATTTTTTTTTTTTAAGGGTGTGCATAGTTGGTGCCTAGAATTGCTTGAAAACATCCGTCTGTACCTTTTTGCAGGTTCAGTGCTGGGTAAGTTTTGCCACTCTGTTTTGTATTAAAGCGAGCATGTTCGAATGGTCACTGGGCAGCTGAGGGCAATAATGTTCAGATTCTCCTGGCATTGCTCAGTGATTAGAAATATTCAGCATGCAAATATCTTGTTCAACTTCAGCAAGTACATCATCTCCCTCCTGCCAGCCTTGCTTGGGGTGAGCTAATGGACTTTTAACATTATACAGCTTAGAGAGTGACTGTCTCTAATAGCTCCTGATTAAACTCTCCAGAAAGGCAAATAACCATCATGGGGCAAAGGCTACACAAGGGGAGGCGGGCAAAAAAGCACAGGTATTAAAAAGTTGCTGGCCAAGGGACTCTTGCTGACATGTTTTGTATTTAGGGAAATTCAGCATTATATTTAACACATTTTGGCTTTTGAGAACTGTCAAACGGATCCCAATGTATTTCCTCTGAATGCTTTTAGAATAGTGATAAAATAGCCCTCCATCCCTTCTCCTCCCCTTTGCCCATTTATAATCTATTATTTTAGGGCTGCTCTGAGGAACTATTGTGTTTTC